CATTTTAAATGGGGGATGGATATAGTCTTAGAAGAAACTAAACTGCAAGCAAATGAGAGGCAACAAGCTGAGGTTGCTAATCTCTGGGGTGAAAAGCAAGAAGAGAGTGAAAGTGTTCTGAACTCAGTATACCTGTTAAAAGTAAAAAACTGCAGAAATCATTTTGCATTCCCAAACCACTGAAAATACTGTCTAGCATTTTTCGCCATGTTTTTGGATGTACCATGTAAATGTAAAAGATACAGGTCCCCTGCTCCAGCCCAAAGACTTCATTCTCCTAGAGACAAAGTGAGTGTACATGCCTACCTGTTGTCTACCCCTCTTCTGAGTTTGACAATATCTGAAGAGGAAGGACAAGAGGGTCGGGGAATCAAAATCATCACAGAAAAGAGCCGATGACTGCATGCCTGGAATCTGTGTATCTTCCAAAGTGCATAGTAACTGCAACAACAAGGGATGAGACATGTTGACGTTTCCCCCTTCCATTCTGCAAAGGCGGTTGTAGTCTTTTAGTTCCGTATCCTGCAGTGCTCTACGGGGCCTCTTTTGGCCCTGCTTTCCTAGCGTCCCAAAAGTACTGCCTCTGGAAGCACTTGGTACTTCATCAGTCAGCTGTTACTTCAAGTCACCGTCAGGAATAAAGCTATCTTTGCCCGGGCTGGTTGCTCAGTGGTTAGAGTGTTGGCCCTCAGATGGAAAGGTCTCAGGTTTGATTCCCATCAAGGGCATGTACCTAGGTTGCAGGCTTCACCCCTGGCCTGGGTCATGGTGAGTGTGGGAGGCAGTCAATCAATGTGTCTCTCACATCAATGTTTCTCTCTCTTTCTCCCCCCTCTCCCTTCCTTCCACTCTCTCTAAAAATCAATGGGAAAATGTCCTCGAGTGAGGATTAGGGAGGGAGGGCGGGAGGGAGAGAGAGAGAAAAAAAAGAAAGAAAGCTATCTTTCTTTTAAGTCTCTTGCAGTTCCCCCTTTTTTTGAACTATTAACCAAAGATATATACAGGCATATCTTGCTTTATTATGATAATCGCTGCTTTTATAGTTGCTGTGTTTTGGGGTTTTTTTTTTTACAAATTGAAGGCAAGAAGATTTCTACTCACCACTTTATTGGGATGCTTGCTTTATTGTGGTGACCTGGAACTGAACCTACAATACCTCAGAGTATGCCTGTAGTTTACCTTGTATGCTCCAACGTTTTTATCATATTTGTAATGTAATAAATTACGTAAATATTATACACAAGACATTAAGCAAAAACCATCCATCCCCTTAAAAATGTGGAGGGAGCCTGGCTAGTGTTGCTCAGTGGTTGAGCATCGACCTATGAACCAGCAGGTCACAGTTCAATTTCCAGTCAGGGCACATGCCTGGGCTGCAGCTCAGTCCCTAGTAAGGGCAGTATAGGAGGCAGCCAGTCAATTATTCTTTCTCATCATTGATGTTTCTCTTTCTCCCTCTCCCTCCTTCTCTCTGAAATCAACAAAAATAATTTTAAAAAGTTATAATAGGTCCTTTGGGTGCTTCCTGAAGTGGGTTAATACAGTAGAGTCTAGATTCCAATTCCAAATAAATCCAATGAACACACTTAATTCTATCCCACCTTCTTTAGGCCAGGTGACTCTTTTTCTTCAGAATTGAGATGGAATCCATCTCTTTCTACTTTATCTAATATCTCACTTATGGGAAGTAATAAGGGCTCGGAGGAATAAGACAGTTTGGGGCTCTTTATTGACAGCTGTCTTACCTTTGCAGCCACAAGTGGACTTCTTAGACCAACATTGTTCAGTAGAAATATAATGCAAGCCACATATGGAATTTAAACATTTTTAGCAGCCATATTTTATTTTTTTCTACTTATTGACTTTATTGGTTGACACTGATTAACAAAATTATACAAGTTTCAAGCACACAATTTTACACCACATCATCTGTACACCGTATTGTGTGTTCACCCCCCAAGTCTCCTTCCATCACCATTTATCACCTCTCTGCCCTTCTTCACCTCCCCCGCCCTTCCCCATATGTTAAAAAGTAAAAAACAAAATGAAAGTAGTTTCATATTTCATTTAATCAATATAGCCAAAATACTATTTCAACATGGAATCAATATTTTTAAATTATTGAGATATTTTGCGTGCTCCCCCCCCCACTAAGTTTTCTATATTTGCTGTGTGTTTTACATTTACAGTACATCTCAGTTTGACTAGCCACATTTAAAGTACTGAATAGCTCAGGCCATATTGGACAACACAGTGTTAATTAACATGGAGAATCTAAGGAGGCAGCTGCAGGTGAGGCTGCAGTAGCAAAGGAGGAAAGTTTTATCTGTCAAACCAAGAGTTTGAACTTTACCCTGAAGGTTATGGGCGCTGTAAACGGATTTTAGGCAGAGAACTTAACTTGATGGTTTCAGAGAATATAGGCTAGAGATTTAGGAGTGGCGTTTAAGCAAGAAGCATTGCTAGGAGGCTGTTGTCGTGGTCTAGGTGAGGAGTGATAAGAACCTGAATTGAAACACTGTCGGGGCCTCAGTGGATAGAGCGTCGGCGTGTGGACTGAAGGGTCCTGGGTTCAATTCTGGTCAAGGGCACATGCCCTGGTTGCGGGCTGGATCCCTAGTAGGGGACATCCAGGGGCAGCGGATCAATGATTCTTATCATTGATGTTTCTATTTCTCTATTCCTCTCAATAAAAAAATAAGAAATAAAGAAACAAAGAAACACTGTGAGGAACGTGGGCCAAAGGAAGTGTGTCTGACAGAGATTTAGGAGGTCAAATCACTGTTGGATTTGAAGAGAGGGAGGGAGTAATCTACTGGTAGGATAGTTACCAGGTTCCTGCCTCGGGTAGTTGGGCCAACGGCAGTCGTGTTAACTGACATGGAGGGAGGACAGGTTGTAAGGGGAGATGAGTTCAGCATGGGGCATCGTGACCCTGAAGTACTTTTGTCACAGCAGGTAGATATGTCCAGTTTGACAGGGAAGAGTTTACTCGAGTATATTTAGAGTTAGAAGCTCTAAAGGCTGGGAAGGAACCCAGTACTTAAGGTGCCAGTGAAAACCTTAGGCAGTTAACAAGAAGGAGGTGGAGGCTGAGGGAATCCAGGGCCGCTTTGCCGAAAAGGGGGGATTAAGCAGACTCTTCAAGAATGGATAGAAATTAGAAAGTCAAAGAAGGTAGAAGCGGCAGCAGAAATGTAGTGAGGTAAGAATGTGTTAGACACTGAATGTACCCATCCTGCTGGGCCAGATGGGTTAGGGCTGAGATCAAAGCTGGCCTAATGCAGTTTGCAGAAGTTTTGTTTGGCTTGCATGGGTGGGGTTGAATCATGGGGTTGGTTCTAAATTTAGTAAGGTGCCAGCACTTCCACACAAAAGTCTAGATTTCTGCTGTCTTTTTAAAATAAAAGGGGGCTGGGCGGTAACTTGGCAACACTGGTGGTCTTCTGTGGGAACACTCCCCTCTCCAGCGGTCTGTTTTATGCACTGGGCTTGAGTCCTGCAGGCATTTGGGTATTTACTCTACTTCTGAGTCCAGCGTTGGTAGGTAATAAAGGTACAAAGATGGATTGGTGACAGGTCAAGAAGGGCTTTTAATGCTAAACTAAGGAGTATAAATGTAGGCAACAGGCAACTAGTGAATAAGGAATTGATGAGATTGAACCATATTTAGGAGGATTATTCTGGACCAGTGAAAACACAGAAGTTAGGAGAACAGTTACCAGTTTTGAAAGGGAAGAGACAGATGTGCATAACCACGTGGCTAACAAATGCGAACTGGACGTCTCTGAAGGAGATGTCATCCGGGAAGCCTGCCAGTGCCACATGGGAACCATCTGGGCCTTTGAACTGACTTATAACGTGTGCGTTGGGAAATCTGCTTTGCAGGCTTCCAGAATTCAGGCCAGTGTTTGGTGCAGGGGCACCGCGAGGCTGGCTCTTTGAAACAGCTGTCTGTGTTTGTTATAACCTCTCAGTAGGAGTACAGTGTGCTTTTTCTCCTTGCTGTGAGCACAGATGGATGATCATGAAGAAAATGGAAATGCTAAGAGAGGTGGGGCAAACTGTGAAGCTGTTAAACTCTGGCTGTGGGAGCAAAGCTCACGGTGGGTGCTGAGCTGCGTGTTGTCACCCAGTGTAACACCTGCCTTCTTCAACATGGTCAGGCTGCTGGCTTACAGTCATTGTTGCAATTAGGCTGTAAAGGAAAGGAAAGGCCCCTTTAAAATAATGAGGCTAAAATTAATATCCGATCATTATTAGCTGTGTGCCAGGCACTCTTCTAATGCTTCCTACAGATATTTAATAATTATAGCTGCCCCCTTGAAGTACTATTGCTACCTCCATTGACCAGCAAGGAAACTGAGGCCCTGGTGGGTAAGAACTTACCCAGGGTCACAGGCTGATAAGGAATGGAACCAGGACTTGACCCCAAGCAGTCTCTCTGGGGGCTTTTCTGTTCAACACTGTTCCACGGCCTCCATATCGTAAGCTCACAGAAATAGGCAAATTCACAGGTAGACAACCTTATGCTTTTATCCTGGAGGCCCCCATACAACTTAATCCAGGGCTGTTCGTTTGGTTCAGGCCCTCCTCGCGGAGCTTAAACTCCAGCATGGGTCCCTCAGCTGCCTTTCAGGGGAAGAGATAATGTGCTGGGTCCTTGGGTGACCTTGAGAGAGCAAGGTTGTGTGCTGTGTTCAAAAGGCTGTTCTCTTCCTTTAGCGAACGGATCGAGGTTAACTTATAAAGTTGCGTTGGTAACCCTTTATGACAAATTTAAAAAGACCTCATAAAAATTCTCATCCCTTTCATGCACACTAAATCACGTTAGCTTCCCTTCATATGTTCTCACAGAGCTCTTTTGATAAATATTTGACGTTGCCAGGGGCTGAGATTCCATAACATTGTAGAAGACCCAAAGCCATTAGTACAGTGCTTCGAGGCCTGTCAGCGTTTCCTCCCATAGTTACTGCGGCTTCCTTCTCTGTGGTCTGCAGGTGAAACATGTGAACGAAAGGTTTAAAGAGGAAACCAACAAGGAGGTGGTTCTCATGTGCATTGGCATCACGTCGGGAGTTGGACGGCTGCTCTTCGGCCGGATTGCAGACTACGTGCCTGGCGTGAAGAAGGTTTACCTACAGGTACTCTCTTTAGTCCTGTCCCCTGGCAACACTATTCCATTGCCTAGTGTCTCCTTATGTGTATTTGTTTGCTCAAATTCTTCTGTAAAAATGAGGAATATTTTCTAGAACCTAACTTCTATTAGCAGTTTTTCAAGGGCAAACTCAGTTATGAGTGTTGGGTTTTCAGTATGAAAAATTGGCGATCAAACAGCAACCTTCTTTGTTTTGCCATCGGACTCCACCGAATCAAAATTTTTTTTGCCCATTACTTTTTCTAGGAATTGTGGTTTCAGCATAGTTTTTATAGTCATGTGCCTTTTGCAATATCTTGTGAAATTCAGGGGTGTGCATGTTTGTTTTTTGAGTTTCCTTATTGCAAATTGCCTTCTGGGTATTGTGGAGTACACACTAAACAAATGCTAATTCTAAGAGCATATGGACCTCATCTGACAAGTATTTAAGTGACTCCTCCATACCAGACACTGTGTTATATGCTACAGATGACACATGGTCTGTACCCTCAATTAGTAGCTAATGGTATCATGGGAAGACCGATAAGTGTAATAGCACAGTGGAATATACGTATGCTAGATGGGTACCATAGCAACATAGGTGCCAAGCATCCGAATCACTTGTGGGGGTGTGAGCAGGCCTCCTAGGCTGGCAGAGTGTTAAGGGGTGAATAGTAGACAGGTAAGGACCGGCAGAAGAAACCATATGTGCAAAGAGGTGAGGTGTGATGGAGTATATTATGTCTGGGGAACAATGTTTGAAGCCTGGTCATGATCAGTTGAATAAATGGAAATGTAGACAGCTTTGCCCAAAAGCGTGGCTGTGGAAGGAAGGTAAAGGAGGGCCACCAAGGGGCTCTGGGGTTGGGGATTGAGCATGTCTGCCCACTATACAGAGGAGAGGCAGTATTTGAGGAGGAGGGCCTTGAAGGAGAGGTGGAATTTGGGCACAGGAAAATGATTGGAAAAGGCATGAAGTAATTTACTATGTGTGGATACAAAAGTTGGACAGTGAAGAAGGTTGGTAGGAAAAAAACGGATTCATTTGGAATATGGTGCTGGAGGAGAGCTCTACTGACACCCTGGACCCCCAGAAAGACAAATGGGCCCTAGAGCAATCTAAGCTGAAACATAGCTGGAGGCAAACATGGCAAACGGAAGCTGTCCTACTTTGAGCTCATCCTGAGAAGGCAGGGTGCTTTGGGAAAGACAGTAATGCTGGGGAAAGCAGGAGGCAGCATGAAGGGGACGAACAACTATGAGATGGGTTCACTCCATAAAAGAAGCCACAGGCAGGAGTCTACAGGAGCTGTGCAGGGCTGTTGAGGACAGGTCACTGTGGACATCCCTCATTCATAGGGGCGCTGGGAGGCAGGGCTCACTGAGTGGTATGTAACACACACAAAAGAACTTCCGTTAATGGATGTGAAGTAATACCAACCACCACACATTGAGCATGTCCACGATGAAGCATCTCCTTTACTCTTCGCCCCTGCCCTTTGAGGAAGGTAATGTCATTTCCACGTAGAGAGGTGAAACGCTGAGACAGAGAGGCCACCTCACTGTGGGTGTCTGTAGGTCCAGGCGGACCGCCACAGGGCAGAGTCTGCTCATACAGCTAGAAGGAAGTGTGGGACAGTGCTACTTTTAAACGTATTTATTGTACCCCGATCATTCCCCCTTTTATCATTACCTAATGTGGATATCCTTGTCAAACATTTAGCAGAGCATTCGGTCTTGTTCTCAAGTGTCATGGGAGCCCTCTAATGGACATTTGTTGCATGGCAAATTTTCAGCTTTTTCTTTTTAAAAAAAAATATTTAAAAATTGATTTTAGAGAGGAGAGAAAAAAGAGAAGAGAGGGAGAGAGGGAGGAAGAAATATCAACCTATTATTCTATCCATTCACGAATTCATTGGTTGACCCCTGCATGTCCCTGTTATTAAATAACAATACTTTATTTTTATGTAATAACAATAAAGTATATATAATTTCAAAGGTACAATTAAAAATAAATTATTTTGCCAACTTTTAGAGAGAAAGACACACACAGAGAGAAACGTCTTTGTTGTTCCACTTATTTATGCATTCATTGGTTGATTCTTGTATGTGCCATGACTGAGGAATTGAACCTGCAGTCACATTCTAACTGACTGGGCTACCTGGCCAGGGCTAAGAATCAAATGTTTGATGAATGAATTTGAGCTGATATTCAAATAACTAGTAATTTATTTATTTTTAATTTATTATTTTTTAAAATATATTTTTATTGATTTCAGAGAGGAAGGAAGAGGGAGAGAGAGAAACACCAATGATGAGAGAGAATCATTGATTGGCTGCCTCCCTGCATGCCCCCTACTAGGGATGGAGCCCGTTGACTGGAATCGAACCGGGACCCTTCAGTCCATAGACCGACACTCTAGCCACTGAGCCAAACTGGTCATGGCATAAAGAACTAGTATTTACTGAGCAATGACCTGGTACAAGATCCTTAACCCTTGTAAATATCTAGTTCAAAGGTGGCTTGTACAGATTCTGACTTCAAAGAGCTTACAGGCTGGGAGGGAAAAACAGTTACTTTCTTCTTGTCTCTTTATTACAGTAATTTTCAAGAATTTTTAAAACATGCAATACCTGCCCTGACCGGTGTGGCTCAGTTGGTGGAACATGATGCCATGCACAAGAGGTTGCTCATTGGCTTCCCAGTCAGGGCACATGCCTGGGCTGCTGGCTCAGTCTCCAGTAGTGGGCGTGCAGGAGACAGCCGAATGATGTTTCTCTCTCTCTCTCTCTCTACCTCACTATCTCTTTCAAGTCAATAAAAACATATTTAAAAAATAATAATAATAAAAACATATAATACCTGACTACTTAGGGCACTGACTTCCTTTCACTTAGACTGTCAAATAAAAAAATGACAACAGCCCTAGCCAGTTTGTATAGAGTGTTGGCCCATGTACTGAAGGGTTGAGGGTTTAATTCCAGTCGAGGGCACATACCTTAGTTGCAGGCTCAATTCCCAGTGCCAGTTGGGACATGTGTGGGAGGCAACCAATTGATGTGTCTCTCTCACAACGATGCTTCTCTCTGTCTCTCCCCATTCCTTTCACTTTCTCCAAAAAAATCTGGAAGAATATCCTCGGGTGAGGATAACAGCAACAAAAATGACAACAGCCAACACAACAATGGGCATTTGTGTGAATGAATCAAAATTATACCTATTTTTTGTAAAAAAAAATTATTTTGGTGTGCCACTGAATTTTAGTAATTAGTTTATGTGTGCCATGAGATGGATGGACAAGGTTGAAAATTACTGCCTTAATGGAAATACTGAGAAAGTGCTAGGGGAACTCAGGGAGTTGATTACGGAAGTTGATTATGTATATAAAATCAAGGTGAATGGGACTATGGGGGGTGAGCGACTAAGCAGTAACTTCTTAAAAGTTCTAAACATATTGCTCAGTGATGGCAGAATTCACTTTTCCTGACAGCAGAGTTGACATGTGGTGTCTGTCCTAGGTGCTCTCCTTCGTCTTCATTGGTCTGATGTCCATGATGATTCCCTTGTGCAATGTCTTCGGGGCCCTCATCGCCGTCTGCCTCATCATGGGCCTCTTCGATGGATGCTTCATTTCAATTATGGCCCCCATTGCCTTTGAGTTAGTTGGTGCCCAGGATGTTTCCCAAGCAATTGGATTTCTGCTCGGATTCATGTCTATACCCATGACTGTGGGGCCACCTATTGCAGGTAAATGTAATTATGCTCCAATAATTATATCGATTCATAGCAGGTCCTAAGTCTCACTTGTATGTAAATGTATAATTTATTAGTTACTAGTCTTTTGGGTGTTTTTTTTGTTTTGTTTTTTGTTTTGTTTTTGTTTTTGTTTTTTTGTGCTACAAAAAGCCAAATACAAAATGCCACATATTGCATGATTCCATTTATATAAAACATCCAAAATAGGAAACTCCGTGGAGGCAGAGAGTAGATGTGTGGTTGCCAGGGGCCAGAGGGAAGGGGATAGAGGAGCTTTGTTCTGGTGTGATTAAAGCATTTCAGAACTAGATAGATGTGGTGGTTGCATAACATTGTGAATGTACTAAATGCCATTAAAATGGTTAATTTTATGTTACGTGAATTTCACCTTTAGAAATCTTTTGAATGATAGTATAAAGATTTCTTCTTTCAGTATTACTTGGGTGCGAATGTGAATTTTTATGATAAGAAGATTTGATAAAATTATGACAAAATTTAAATGTATGTACTATCTTCTATTCTGGCATGTGACGGGCTCAGTTAAAGTTCAGCTCAATTCATTCTCATATCCAGAACCACATGTACCGAGCAACTTTGCCAGTTGGGAACCTAGTCATGAATCCAGCAAGCAGAGCCACCACCGTGCAGACCAAACAACATTTAAGTTCTAAAGATCACAGTCTCCTTAGAGGAGAACCCCCGTCCTTCCTCACTCTCCACTAGTCGCACTATTTTTATACCTTACAAGCTTCATTTCTTAGGGTTTCCAAGTCCACAGGGGATGACAGGTAGCTGTGGAATGGGGTTTGCTACTAGAAGTAACTGATAGCAGACGAGAATAAAGGAGTAACAGGGAGCTCCCAAAGCAGGCAGAGCGACACAGCAACTGGCAGCAGAAAGCCCCCGGCCCCCCAGGAGGCTCTGGGGCCACAGTATCATAGCCAAGCACAATGGTTAGCGCTCATCAGGATGAAAGGTTCAGTTACACATTACATGTTCTGATTCAGGAGACAGGAAATCACATATTGGACATACTGTGTGTTCTAGGTTTCCATCCAGAATGAAAGTGCACCTTTTTTAATGCATTGGGACTTAACGGGACACATCCTGGGCAGAGTCAGATACTTAGTACTCTGTGTGCTCCCTACACATTTCAGATAACTGAGGTCGTATAGTAAACATGTTAAAAGGTGAGCCCATCCGGTGTGGCTCGGTGGTTGAGCGCCAACCTATGAAAGAACCAAGAGGTCACACTATTCGATTCCTGGTCAGGGCACATGCCCAGGTTGTGGGCTTGATCCCCACTGGGGGTTGTGCAGGAGGCAGCCAATCAATTATTCTCATCATTGATGTTTCTATCGCTCTCTCCCTCTCCCTTCCTCTCTGAAATTAATAAAAATATTTTTTAAAAGTTTAAAAGCACTAAGATAACTAATTAAACATTGGATTGTGTTAGATGAATTAGGTACAAGGAGTATGCTAAAGCATACTCCCAAGGATCTGTGAGAGTGCCACACAGATCCTCGCGTTTTCCTCTCACGTGGTGACAGACCTCCATTCTCTTTCCAAAATGTATTTAACAACCTTTTCCTTCCTAACTTACGTTTATCATTGTTCATGATTTTAAATTATAATTTTCAATAGCTTCATGTTATTTCATAAACAAATAGGCCCAAGAAAGGTTGGAAACGGTAGACGTTTTGCAGTGTCTATGAGAAGTTTAAGCTTGGTGGTCTATCCACCTTTACACCATGTGTCAGAATGCCCCAAATGACCTCTGAAGGGTTTTGAAAAAAAAACCAAAGCTTAGTTGCCAATATTTGTTTCCATGTAATATTTTGGTATGAAAACCCAGAGGCCTGTAGTCTGTGATGAGATTAAAGAGAGGAGCTCTTTTCCTTCTTCATATCAGAAATGGTTTATATTTCAGGCACACTTCCTAAACATGTTTAATCATCTGAGCTGTTTGAGCTAGTTCTGCTGAGATGCAGTCACGAGGGTGGAGCTAGGCAGGCCACCTCTGTGCTGGATCTGAGACCCCTGAGAGCCCCCCCTGTTTTCTCTTGGTGACAGTGTTTTCCCTTCCCAGGGTTACTCCGTGAGAAGCTGGGTTCCTATGACGTGGCATTCTACCTCGCTGGGGTCCCTCCCCTTATTGGAGGTGCTATCCTTTGCCTTATCCCATGGATCCATAGTAAGAAGCAAAGAGAGATCAATAAAACCACTGCAGGAGAAAAGATGGAGAAAATGCTGGAGAACCAGAACTCTCTGCTGTCAAGTTCACCTGGGATCTTGAAGAAAGAATCTGACTCTGTTATTTAATGTCTTCTATCCCTCCACCAGACTGGATTTGCTTTCAGAAGTTTAAGCAAGTTTTCCTTTTATATAAATTGCAAATTATTTTTTTAATCACATCCTAAGAATAGCACAATAATGGGAAATAGAACATTTATTACTACAAGAACCATTTCTGCCACCGAATAGCTGTCTAACATTTCCATGAGTCTGAGGACAGAAACTCTGGTCCATGAAAACATCTCTGGAAGTTAAATATTATGAGAATTTGATCTATCTCAGTAGATAGCAACTTTGGAAACTGTGAATGCTATTTAGCTTCTACAAATATTTAAAAATACCTCAAGCTATACTGAAAAGGTTGTAATTTGGTTAGACTGGAAATATTGTTTGTTGCCTCACATGCTGTTTTTAGTTCTGGTATCTATCTAGATTTTAATTTCTTTTGCTATTTGGAGACTTTTTACAAAATTTAAGTCTGGCTTCTAGATAATGTGCGAGCTACCTAAACCTCAAGTGTGTGTGAAAGTTGCTTTCCCTGCTGTCAAGTAGGCCCTGACATGAAGGCGTTCTGACTTGCCCTAGTGTCAGAGATCTTTTTGGAGCAAATGCTAGCACTGTATTCAGAACCAGTATGTGAGATTCCTGGTCGTAAGGGCAGAGCAGCTTCATTTACATTTCTTCCCTATGGCTTTGTAGTGTTTTACTGGAGTAGCCAGAAATGCTCCAAATTTCTGAATTTGTTTAAATTATAACAATAAAGAAAAATAGAATGAATGAAAGATACTCTAGCAGTTTTAACATAAAATATTTCTGGCTTCTGAATTTGTTAGCACTGGGACCCAGTATTTAAACAAAGCCTTATTGAGCATGTTGTCAAGTTGCAGTTTCAGGCACAGTGGGGGAAAAGATCTTGGTGTTTGTAAAGGAAACATCTATTTCTGATAGACACAGTTGCTGACATTGGTTTATGAAATTAATGGGTCGTGAAAGGTTAGAAGCATTTATAAAGAGAAACAACTCCTACATTTCCAAAACTTTCTGGCAGAAATTTGCATTTGTATGTATTTCGCCTAGTGTGTTCCCCATTAACATTCTTAGTACTTTTTTCTATTTATACACAGACAATTGAAAGCAAGCTATTAGAGTTTAAGTACCTAAAATTAAAACCAAATCATGCCATGACCCATGCTCATCTACAAAACACAGAACACTTTCCTCATCCCTGAAGTTATACATTTTTGTTATTTAGGTGTTTAAAAATTAATAATATGCAAAGTACATTTAAATCCTAAATATAGATGTTTATTAGATCTTCCTCAAATGTAGCTTGTTCACCTGGGAAGAATGTTGTTGTTGTTGTTTTATGTGGGTTTTTTTTTTGAGAGAGAGACATCAATTTGTTGTTTGACTTATTTATATACACTCATTAGTTAATTCTTGTGTGTGCCCTGACCGGGGGTTGAACCCACAACCTTGGTGTATAGGATGGCACTCTAACCAACTGTGCTACCTGGCCAGGATGAGTGTTGTCCTTTTCTAAAGCACCTCGAGGACCCCCCTGTTTCTAAGTTCTTTGTAAGGAAAGAAAGTTAGTCTATTATCTCCTTACTTTACTTTTCAGCTACTGTTGTTTCTGGAAGGCAACGCACTTCCATTCCTTGTCTCTAGCTGAGGATGGAGATGCCTGGAAAGCACATGGACTTAGAACTGATGGAGAGCAGGGAGGTGTGGCACTCAGAAGGTGGGAGGAGAGTGAGGCTGTTCATTAAACGGCGAGAAAACACAATAATTTTCCTTTCAGAATCAACTTTCTTATCTGCAGCCTTGAAAGTTCAACGTCTATAAACACTAAATGTAGAATTTGTTTTTAATAGGATTTTAAATAATTTTGATTGTGAAGACATTCAACAACTTACTGTGGCCATACACACAGTTGCAACTTACTCCTTCAAAATGTCCATATTTCATATTCAGGGACTTCGTAATTTGTTTTTTGGAAGGTTCTGTTACAAAGAAAAGGAAAAACCCTACATTTGAACACACTGCCCTTTTATGTTCTTATTTTAAACTTTTCGAAAATGACTTAGAAATGATAATGTAATAAATTATCTGGTTTTTCATTTATTCATGCCCAATTATAAAAGCATAATTTCCTCATTATCAATGCTTTTGAGATCAGCAAAAACATAAAACTAAGACCAATCATCATGCCTGCCATTATAAATATTTTTTAGTTTTTATAAGACTCCTGGTACTCCCCACCTGCAATTGTACAGAAAGAATAATTCTAAAATAGAATATTTACTCTGTAAAGACCTCCAAAGTGCTTTTCCTTTCAAAATTTGGCTGATTTTAGGGGAAATAAAATGTAATAATCTGAAACTCAAAGACTTGATCTTGCTTGATTAGTTCTAATAAAAGAGCAAAGTGACTTAATATTTATAATAAAACTTAGATCTCAGAATACTGCACACATACTATTTCACTTATGTAGTTTTCAGTCTAATGCAATGAGTCAAACAGGATCTATAACACCAAGAATTCTCCACCATAATTGAGTACTGTGCTGTAATAATATAAAGTTAAAAAGAAAAAGTATAAAAGGTAAGATGTTAAATTCCATAAAATGCATATTTAGTAATATGTTGTTTGGTACAAAAAGTTTTAAAAGTCTAAAGTTCTAAAAGTTCTACAAACTAAAAAAATGAAAAATACTAACATTCATAAAGATTCATGTTTCAGACAAAGAAATATTACTTTAATCTTTTAGTTAAAGTAAATCCTTTCCAATTTCTGAAGTGTTACTATTGTAATAAAGTGATGGGCCTAAATTTTTCTTGGTTCAATTCAGACACTTTTTTTGAGAGGAAAAGAATAGAGTCAGAACTCTACTTTCTAGCACACCATCCTAATTCTGATAGGATCAGCAAATTCTCACATTCAATAGGTTCTTGCATTTGAGGCCAGCAGTTACATAAGAAGGGGAGCAATTACTATTCCCCTTTACAGAAGCTCCGGGTCAGATACACAGGTAACAGATACCCAAAGATCTTCCAGAAACATTTTGGTTAAATTTTATTGCAGTGGATATTGTTGAGATCCATCCATTTCAGTAATAGACCCACCAAGTTATTGATACTTTATTCAAAATTTGTAAATCTCTTTGATCACAGTTGCAATGCTTAGTCTATGATCCTACTACAAGACTTGTAATTTCCACTGAAAATTGCATAGTGATTGCATTAAGCTTCCAATTCTACTCATAAACAGAAACAAGGCCTTGTTTGCATTTCATGATCCATATGTTATCTGATTGTACATACTTGCGGACGATCACCTAGGCTCTGCCTAAGTATTGAGAAACCTTTCATGCTATCAGTTTCAACTTCTCACACTTTTAAAGTAAACGCACACTTAGTTGTAAAGTAAATTATCTTTACTCTTTTCATATTATCTTTATCCTTATCATCCTTTTTCCCTTTTACTTCCTCCTATCCTTCAAAACATCTGCTGAAGAGTCTGTTAACATCCTTGCTTAACTCTACTAGCTGCTCAGCTGCAGTACTTCCTGGTCCCTGTGGTTTCAGAGGCTGGAACCCCATTCAATTTGTGTGACCTGGAGAATGGCTGGCTCTCAGTCATCAACTTAGAGTTCTAAAGGTCTAAATTATGTGCTTAAAATTTTGGGGGAAATAAATTTCATATAATTGCATCTTTGGTGTTAACATATAAAACTTTATTTAAACGTTTAAGGTAAATGCTTTGAGAGAAAAGATTGTCGAGTTCTTAGCATGAATATTTTTGGAGGACACATTTTTTTTAACTTTGCTTTTGCTCTTCCTTTAAAGTTTTGCTAAATCTTAGTCCTGAGAGCACATCATGGAGGATGCCTTGGATTCAGTGAGCCTTTCGGATGCTGTTCCCTACGAACCTGCCTTAGGCGGGGTCACACTTGGTGAGCTTAGAGGCACAAGTGGAAAGTTTAATTAGCTCCAATTTTTAAATATGTAAACAATTTAAATATTTAAAACTTATTCAAACTCTTTAGAAAATTCCTAACACTGACAGCTTTATTGTGGCTGGTATAAACATTAAGGAGTACTTTCTATATTAGATTAAAGGTTGTTGCTTTTTTCCATATGTGAAAAGTAAGAGGAAGTGAGCTTTACTGCTTTCTTTTTACATCTATATTATTTTTTAATTTGAAAGATTAATGTTGTCTTGGCTAATAGGAAAGTGCATCATCCATATAGTTTAATGAACTCAGAAAAAAACTCAAACCTTTTGCTTTGTTTTTAAAACAAAAGAAGAATTTGCCATTCCTAATGGTGATGTGGTAATCCATAGAAGGCAGGCTTGCTACTTTACTGGTAATCATTAATTCTGCTCATATTATACTCACTGATTTTTGTGGGTGATTTGGTTTAAGGGAAATAAAAAGACCATCTCAAGTGGAGTTTGAGAATGGTTCAGGGCGAAGAGTCGCAAGGTGGACAGCAACAATAGGCAGCTCCCGGATCACTGTTATTTCATAGCCGCAGCCTTGTTTATCAGTTTACTTGTTGGCAGAGGCTAATGCTTTGTTTTGTAAATACAATAGAGCAGCGGTTGCCAACCTTTCGGACCAGTGGTCCATGGACCACCAGTTGGCGGTCCCTGCACTAGAGAGTGATAGGTTACAGTCCTTAAGACTAAGGGGCCAAATGCCTATAGCTACATGTGAAACCTGAACACAACTTAGAAGCACAATTACTGAACTATCATAAATGTGGACTTTATCAGATGACTTCTTCTGAGACAGTAAAGACCCATGAAACAATTCATTGCCATATCTTTGACTCAAAGAAATCTTGAAATCTGGGACATAGTGGTTTACCTAATAGTTTACTATACATAGTCGTTTACTTAGCTTGCCCTTTTTTAAATGATCAATATTTAAGTAGTGAACATTAATCATCTTGACCTCTATACATTCACAGAAATCCTCCATGGTATTCTTGACATCTAACATAGGACTACCTCACTTGTGACACAGAAGATTTCCATTTTTTATTAGTGTGTTGGGAAGACATTGGGAATGAAACGAAACCTTCCTAAGCACCTGATCACAACGCTCACTTGACCCGGACAGTCCACCTACCTCAGCTTTCAGTGTCCAACCAAAAGCGTGGCTTAATCCATGCGTGCTTAGTCAGAAGGAAGCTAATGGTGATGCTGGGATTAAAAGGCAAGGGAGTGCAAGTTGTTAAGGGGGTCAAAACAGTAAGATTTCTTAAGTGCTTTGTTCTGATAAATGGATATAAAAGGAGTATTAACTGATGTGGCCGGTGGATCATCTAACAGGAAAATGGAAGAAATTTATAACCTGTGTGTAATAATGAACACTTACTAAAATGCTTTACCAGGGGCTTTGCAATTATGCCGGCAGCTTGATGAGGAGGTCTTCTTTCCACTTGCGTTTTCTTTGGCAGGAAGATGGATGACCACTGACAACAGATGCATCTTGTGCCTTAGCCTTACAGCTTACATGCTGAACTCCTGTAAAAGGCCCCCCTTTCCTCGTGGTAATGATGTTTTGTCCCACAGGAGTTTTTAAACGCTGTTGTTGTCTGTGTCTATAGTTAGAAGTTGACCCACAAGTTCCCAAATTAATTAAAGACGTTCCTAGCCTTTCAGTATGAGCGCTGTAAGAGGAGTATTTTGGAGTTGAATGTCGCAAAGCATGTAAGTGATAGGACCTATCTACATAAAATAACATTAAGAAATCAAAGGAGATATGTGATACTATTTTGGAACCTCTGATATACAAGGTGGGGCAAAAGCAGGTTTATAGTTGTGCGTATAAAAATAACACAATAATGAGTAAATAATACAAGAATAAACTGTTTCCTGTACTCACAACTGTAAACCTACTTTTGCCCCACCCTGTATGACTTTTATTCTTTACCAGATAATACTTTTCAGCATCTGTCAGTTATTAAAATAGTGGATTTTTAAAAGATATTTTAAATGTGTGTGGATACAAATCCTTTCTACTGTGATCTTCCCTCACTGTAGTCTTCTATAGTGTGTTCTAATTGCTAGAAAGCTATGGGCAAACGTATCTTTCATGATTCAGTCTCTATTGGCATATTACTTTAGAGACCCAGGGCTTATTAGCAAGAGTGCTGTATTTTGACGCCAGACTATGAACAGACTGTGAATTTGGTGCCTTTTTTTTTTTCCTACCAAAGAAAAATTGGATCAAGGTTGGTGCTAAATTTCATGTTTCTTTCAAAATTATTATTTTTTAAAGTATGTATAACACAATAGGAAATGTGTAGATCCAGCAGTATTGTATACGTTACATTTTTTAATATACATCTGAGGGGGGAAAAAACTCACCTATAAAGCAATTTTTGAGTTCAAATATCTACTTCGAGGTATGTAATTTTGGTAAGCACATAAGGCTTTAAATTATGAAACTTACATAAAAATGATCACCAAATGAAAACTTAATGCCAAACATAGCCCCAAACATCTCTGGTCAGTGTTTCTAGCACAAAGGTAGCTATTCCAAGTATGCTGTAACTCTGAGGGCATGTAAAAGAATTATGTATATTTTGTTATACAAAATAACTTTCTTGTTATTGTGTCTTGTTATACAAAACACTTGTTTAAGTAGATATTTTGAGATATTTTTCAGGCTAAAATCAGAGTCCTGGGGGCCATCAATCTTAAAACTTGAACAATGAGTTACAGTAAAAAAAAATTCACACTGAAAGTGTTATTGTTCATCTTTTAGATTTAACCTAAAGATTTAAATTAGTAAGGACGATGTCTGAGTCAGGCTCAGCAAACTTCATACCTCAGGTTTATCAAGGGCTGTCAGCATCATGGTGTGGCTGTGTGACACTCACCTAAAATCCCACCTGGAATTCCACGTGGGTTTCTGAGTCCTAATGTACCTGAACGTAGGACTCAGATGAAGTGGGGACCACGGGTTTTTATTTAATCCTACTGTCTTGTATAGACTTTGCCTTAACTATGTTATGAGGATGTGCTCAATGTAAATTGGAAAAATGATACTATCGTTTTACTAACCAGGAAGACCATACACTTAGAATCTACTAGAGTTTCCTGGATTCTCTGTTCATTGAGAACTCCTCTCTGTTAACATGAGCTATGTGTGGAAGGGAGAATGGGAACTTGTTAATCAGAAGTTACAGTAAAGTGAGACTAAATATCCCTTTAATAGTAACTTCTGATGTATCTGTTAATATATTGTGGTTTGAGGAATGTAAGATTGGACATGCTTGATAAATTTGCATTTTGTCAGTTTGGTCTCTTGCCAGTTTATTTTAGTCTGAAAGTTACAGCTACCACAGACCGAACCCTGCAGTATTATTAAGAGAGAGCTTGGATATTTTAAGTGTCTCTTAGTATAATATGACCTTTTTCATCCCAAGGTATTTTAATGTTTATATGAAAAGTAATTTTTAAATTATTTTGCATAGTTTCAAAGTTAGAAAAACATGCTTTATCTTAGACATCAAAACCAAATTATCCCAAGAGCATGCTGTACACCGCGTGTAGCTCTGCCTCCCGGCCGACACAGGATGCCATCTTTGGCACAATCGTTGTTTAAGTCTAGAACACTGTGCGAAATGATTATGTTGGATTTGATCAGTGTGCAGTATTTTAGTATGTGCCTTTTAAAGAAATGTATCTTTTTAAAGAGTTTAATTTATAACTGATTTTTTTATAACGTGCAATTTAATATAGAGAACCAAAATCTTTTAAATGAAAAGAGCTTTATAATCATTAGGAGGATAAGATCATTTTACTGTGGAACAATGTGATATTCTCAGTAAATATAATAAAAATTTTTTAGCAAATTTCTATAAGGCTTTTGATTATATTTATGGAATTGCTGGGGAGTACGGGGAAAGAAAAAATTATACTAAAATGAAGGAAACAGTCTGTGTTGAATAAAAGATAATATGCTGTGTGATTTTTTAAAAATATATTTTTATTGATTTTTTACAGAGAGGAAGGGAGAGAGAGAGAGAGTTAGAAACATTGATGAGAGAGAAACATCAATCAGCCGCCTCCTGCACACCCCCCACTGGGAATGTGCCTGCAACCAAGGTACATGCCCTTGACTGGACTCGAACCTGGGACCCTCCAGTCCGCAGGTCGCTGCTCCATCCGCTGAGCCAAACAGGTCAGGGCTGCTGTGTGATTTTTAAGCTGTATCAATCTATTCCAAGTATGTTTGGGTTTTGTTGTTTCTCTGAAATAAAGGGAAGTGGTAGAAATGATCTAAAAGCACTGGAGAATCTAAAAACTACTTCTGTTAGACATTTTTTAGAGTTAACTAGAGGCCCAGTGCATGAAATTTGTGCACGGGTAGGGTCCTAGCAGCTGCTGGCTGCCAGGCAGGGCCTCCCTTCATTTCATGCCACCCCCTGGTAAGTCCACGCACATCATAGTGAGCGATCAAACTCCCAGTTGGTCGAACTCCCGAGGGGACACTTTGCATATTAGGCTTTTATATATAGATGTACATTATGTTTCTTTTACTTACACTGATTATATTTGTTAAATTGAGCCAGTATAGGTGACCTCCTACTCATTGATAATCTCCGGGGATTACCAAGAACCAGGCTGGAATATTAAAAAACACAATGTCCTGTTATTATGGATTGCACACATTCGGGGATGTTTATTATTTCATGAGCTCTAATTACAGAGCAAAACATTATTTATGGTGAATGGTGCTAAAGATATTTTTTTTTAAAATATATTTTATTGAGGTTTTACAGAGAGGAAAGGAGAGAGATAGAGAGTTAGAAACATCGATGAGAGAGAAACATCGACCAGCTGCCTCCTGCACACTCCCCACTGGGGATGTGCCCGCAACCCAGGTACATGCCCTTGACCGGAATCGAACCTGGGACCCTTCAGTCTGCAGGCCGACGCTCTATCCACTGAGCCAAACCGGTTTCAGCCTAAAGAGATTTTTTTACATTAAACTCAAGAACATGGAATTGCAATACATCATTTAGTCCAGTAATTACTTACATGCCTGCATATAAGTGCCAGAATGTGCAGGCCACTGGAGGGCTTTCGAGAAAACCGGGAAAGAATGGGTATCACATCTTGTTACTGATTTTGAGCAAGATAAAATTCACTCTCCTGAAAAAATAATTGTTATGGATTAAATTAGAATTCTACTGTATACAGAAAATCTAATTATCATAGTATCAAACTTTAAGGATTTAAAGTTCTCTTTTCATAGTTTTCTACAGATAAACCTAAAATTTAAATTCAAGACTTATTTTTTAAAATCCTCAACTCAAGAGTTACCAGTGTCTTCTTGACCCCTTCAGGGATAGGAAGCTCACTACCTCACACAGTGGTCTCCAGAGCTGAGCCCTCTGCCTCCCATGCTCACCTCTTCTAGCTCTAACTCCTTTTACCTGTCCTTGCCATGGTCATCTATGGGCCTCCTGGACCACTCCCATATATCCACACCCAGCAACTGGCATTTGGTCCAACATTCAACATTCATGTGGAGCAACTTTATTTCCCCACACACTTAACAGAGACCCTGTAACTTTGCCATCTCTGGAAATGGCTTCATCTTTGAAGTCTTAAATACCAACATTCCTCTCTCTCTTCACAGCGTCCTATTAATTTCCTCTTCCTCCCTTCCCTTGGGCCTGCTCTTCAACTTGGAGATCATCCTCCCATTGCCTCCTCCATTCCCTCCCATTCCCCATTCTGTCTCAGTCAGATCTCTTCAGTCTCTGCTTTCTTCCTTAATCCTTACCCTGGGATCTGCAAGACTCTAATCAGCTCCCTGAATATTCCCCTCCCTAGTTGCCCCTACATCACCTTCCCCAAATTAAATATCTCCAGTTTCCTCAACTGTCTGTTCTCTCTTGTATCATTTCCCCTCTCTTTATTGGATCATTTCCATCAGCATGTATACAAGCTGTGTATTATACACATCGCAGCTTGGGGGAGAGAGGAGGTCTCTTTTAAACCACATGCCCCCTATGGCTATTGCCTCATATCCTTCCATTCATTTATAAAAGACAAAAAAAATTTCTTAAAGAAATTTCTACCTACTCTCTCCAATTTTATCTCCTCCCAGTCTTTCTTGAATCCACTCCACTGAACTGCCTTTCTCAAGGTTACCACTGGCCTCCACAGCATTAATTCCAAGTCACTTTTTTTTTAGTATCTCAAGATAAACAATTTTAAATATGATGTTACATGCAATAAACACCAATTATTTAAGAAAAATGATCTTACATGTAATAATATTACATGCAATAAACATTAATATTTCAAGAATAAAAGGATTTTAAGTATAATAATATTACTAAAACTATACTAACATAGAATGATATCACAAAAGTTATAGGAAATATTAAAAATCTGCAAATAACAGGATTGCTCCTATTCTAGAATATTTTTTTCCCCTCTGGCTCTATTTTTGTTCATCAGTTTATATTGTGGAGAGAGCACCTGAGAAGGCACATGGGCATTTCTTTAAGTATTGTCAGCTGAATCCAGTGACATTGGCAAAGCCCCATCCTGGAAACACGCTTTGCCAAAAGGCAGAAGTGTTGTCAGCTTGACCTTCAGCCGAGGTGCCAAGCGGTGGGTTTTGCTATTTAAATCCAGCCAAGCACCAAGAATGAATAGACTCAGGCCCACCCAAGAATGCGCATAATCTCCTTTGTCTTGACCTTTAGTAAAACTTCCTGGTTTTTGCTGTATAAAATAAACACCTGTATTGGCTCTGGGTCACTGTCTCTCC